GCCTTGAATGCCTGTTTGAACAGACTGCTCTGGCTGGTCACACACATTTGATCCTTTCTTCTCAGAAGAGGAGCTAACCGGGTCTGTAAGCGCCAGCAGCTCTGGAGAGACGGACTGTTTCCTTTCGGGCGTCTTCCCGAGTGCTCAAGCAATTCTGAAAAGTTCATCTCCCCTGCACAGTTTGAACACTTTTGAAGAAAACGCCTAAATCAGCATACTATTTAAAGTTACTCTTACTCTGATTTCAGACACCTTATTCTACAAACTCAGCAAGAGCTCATTTCAATGGATAAGGTATCTCCTTTTCCCACTTAAAAAAAAAATTCCTTGATTGTCCCTTTTTAATACAAGGGGTTTTCTCAAGTTACAGTCCACAAGAACAGATGCTGGATCTGGCGTTTGCACACCCTTTGATACTCACGTCAGCGTCGCGCTTTGGATCATGCAGTTGCAACGATTACCCCTCAAACAGCTTAGATAGTTTGCATCTCTCGAGCTCCCTGGTGCAGTTTGTGCAGTTAAAGCACATAAGAATTAAAACTATAAGATGACTTTGATTATATCTCAGAAAGCACACTGGAGAAAAATCTGCTAGCAATCTAGTAGAAATATTCTCCACCATTCAGCCAACAGACCACAAAATGAGGCAAAGAATTCTCCACCATAACAGACCACAAAATGAGGCAAAGAATTCTCCACCATAACAGACCACAAAATGAGGCAAAGACTTGCATTATTTAACATGAGCAGGAGTGACGCTAAGTTATGCAAACAGGTAAATGCCATTAGAGCCTATTTACGGGGCAATTAACATCCACAAAAAGTCCATGATGTCCTAGAGTGTGCGTGTCAGGATGAAACGTGGAGTACTGACACTACTGACCGTCCCACTCAGTACAAGTTTAACCCATCCTTCCACGGAAGAGCCCCAGTTCAAGAGGTTTCATGTCAAAGATTGTCATCTGAAATACCGTAATCAGCTAACAGCTTACTCCCACAGAGCCGCACGTGCTCCATCAGATTTCTGCAAAGCTTCGCTACTCTGGAGAAATGTCTGAGCTTAATTTCTGTGGACCGCCTGGATTTAGAAACACTGAAAGAACTGTATTATTATGAAGTATATAATTTTGGCTATTAAAAATACTAGAATATTACATTCAGATGTGTGGACCACAGAACGGGGCAGAATTCACAAAATGCCAGAGAATCAGTGAATTTTGAAAGAACACCCCACCTTTTACAGCCTGCAGCGTTACGGAAACACGATTGGAGACGTTCACACTTCTCACCAACCTGGTGCTACGACAGAAACCCACACGAAACCTCCGAACAGGCTGCACTGGCTTCGTGCAAGGACATCAGCGCTTTGAATGTACCTTTTCACAGGTCCCTAAGCCGCGACAGACGACAGCGAACAGAGTCCAGAGAGCCGGCGCGTTTGAAACCTCCATCTGAAGCGCCTGAAGCCAGGCTGGCAGCAAGCCCACG